ATTTTGCACACAATTTTGAGTACTTACTGATTTGGGGGGGTCTACAGCATATATGCTTTTGCATATTGTAACCTCTAACTACCAGCAACAGGAAGGAAATGAGAATGAAATTTTTTTTTCTTTTTTGGGATGAAAACCAAGGCTGATTTAGTAGACAAATCCAGTAGGTGTTGTTGAGTGGATTATTGATGCAATTAAAATGGTCTTTTGCTCCTTGAACTCTTAACCTTAGATTACACAAAACTCTTGCGGATCTCAAGAAGACAAAGCAGAGGGCATCAACAAGCTGTCCCCTACTTTCTTGTGTGGCTATAAAGGCCAACACATTGAGTTGGTAGCTGTGGATTTTTAATGTTTTAAAGTCTGAAAGCAGAAGAAAGCAGGGTTCAGTATAAAATGAACAAATAATTATTGGGAAAATGCACCTTAGATGGAGAAGTCGCTATGCAAGAGTACAGATTCAAAGTTTAGTTACTATGATTTTAAAAACAATCTCTTCTAAAAAGTTAACTGATTCAAGATCTTAGTTCACTCATTCGACAAACGCTTATCTTTTTAGGCTCGGTTTCCATTCTTCCTCTGCAAGGAAGATTTCTCACTACCAGAGTCCTCTGTCTCTGAAATAATGTTGCATTGTAAGTTAACCAGGCAATGATTTTTATGTGGCCACCATGGGCAAGGAATACATTCATTGCTAGCGGGGGTACAAAGAAGTATCAGAAATAATTAACTAGCATCACACAGTTTAGCTCTAAAATGTTCTCCAATTTTTACAGGTATGCATGCTTTATTATCATTTTCAAATGACAAAATTCTTGAGGGAAAAACTTCATTTATACAAGGGATAATGAGAAGAATTTGTTTTCTGAGTGGCATCTCTGATGAAGTAGTAGTTGCTCACTGGTGTGCTCTGTAAAGAATGATTCTGAGGCTGTGGCATTAGCAGTACCAGCATTGCCATGTTTTTGTTATTCCTGCTCAACCTACCATCTTTTTAAAAGAAATAGCTTTTTTTTTTTTTTTTTTTTTTACTAGAGAATGAGGGCTTCGTGATCCATTTAATTTTTCCTTTGTAACTGCTAGAAATTCAGCAGGGAGTTTTGATATAAATTTCTTCTTCTCTTTTATTGCTTGACTTTTTTTCTTTTATTTTGTATGTCATGTTACTGTACTATAGTTTGTTTTTGACAACTGGTTGCTTTAAGTCTTTTTGAAAGAAACAAATCATTGCATATACTTACTTCTTCCTATAAGTTTTATGGTGCCTAGCATAGGTCCAGGACCCTAAAGAGTCATAGAATAAATGCACTTTGCATGGAGAACACTGAACTTGATGCTATGGAGGTCCCATATGGTAGGTGCACAACGATGCATGAATGAGTAGGTGAATGAATGAATGAGTTCGGAGGGAATTTAAACCATGAGAAAAATCATGATGGTTTGTGACTTATGAAGGAAAGCATCTGACGAATCTTGGCTGATGCCTTAAAAAAGGCGTAGAATGATGATTGGAAGAGGAGGAAATGGCTTAGAGGAAAATGGAGGTTTAGCAAGAAGAATTTAAAAGGACAGGAGCCATCATGTAATAATATTTGACTCCTCTCCATGGGCCTGTTTGCTTGTGTGGAATGTAAAATTTCAGGGAACAGGAATTTTAAAACATTAATTTGGAACCCATTAGTGTGCTCTTCCACAGAGTATGCCAGAGTGTTTTTAGGTTGTTTGAAGATGAAGATGATCCTCTTACCTACATTATTTCAAGTTCAAAAATTAAAAATTATAGGGCATGGTAATTTCAACTTGTAGATTTAGGGTAAAATAATTCATTTAGATGCATCACAAATTAATCTTCCCTCATAGAATCGGAACAAGCAATTGAAATTCTGTTTTGTGGCAAGCTGCTCCATAATGTCTGTGGGGACTGGTTTTGTTTATTTGCTGCTATATGATAGTCTTAGGTAAACAACATACAGCTATATCTATGTGCATCTGGGTAGGCTTAAACATTTTTATTATGCAACTTAAAAATGAAAAAGCCAAATCTGCTGCACTTAATGAAACAGCTAAATCCCATTCAGTGTAAAACAAACCCCTACCACCTTCTTGTCAAGTAATCTTGGCCTTTAAAGACCATCCCCACATAATCAGTCACTTCCATATGCCTTTCATTCTACCCATAATCTAGGACTTTTTTTCCTCAACGTTTTGTTTCTCTGGGCTGAATTTCATCTCAGTTGATTGCCCAATTCACTTTTCATTCACTCATAATTGTTTTTTGAATTGTCTTAAGTTCTCAAATGGATTATGACAATTTGAAAATTAACAATGGCGCCTTAATTGCATGGGGCTGTGTGATCCACAAAACCCTGTTGGCTGATGTTTTTACCCCCACCTGTAATTTTTTTTTTTTTAACCAAATGTGAAAAGGTAGAAACACATATAAGGATAAAACACACGTGGTTGTGATTTACAAAAATTGTTGACTTTCCAGTATTTGGAAATTAACCATGGACACTTGCAAAACCATTTTACAAAAGAAATTATTTGAAAAATTAGATTGGATTTTCTTTCTCTCAAAGTTAGCTTCTTTTGTGAAAGCAGCAACATATGCAAGCAGGGCAACATTTTCTAGATGTGTATGAAAATTAAGATTCAGGAAATATAATCATTATTCTTTAATTATGTAACTTTGACTGGGCTCTCAATGCAGCTTGGCAATCCCCTCGCTTGTCCCCAAAGGACTTCCTCTCGAGTTCCTCTTGAGGCAGCTGTTTGAAACCTTTAAACTCATGCCATTCTTCTCATGCCCCTCACTCTCAACCTTTACCCTTACTTCATAATTTACAGAGACTATAGCAGCTCCAAGCTGTCTCCTTGGACTCCCTTCGCTTCCACCTACAGACTCGCCTACAGAAGGACACATCTTTTTTTTTTTTTTTTTTCTTTGAGGTGGAGTTTTGCTCTTGTTGCCCAGGCTGGAGTGCAATGGCGCGATCTCGGCTCCACTTCCCTGGTTCAAGCGATTCTCCTGCCTCAGCCTCCGGAGTAGCTGGGATTATAGGCATGCGCCACCACGCCCAGCTAATTTTTGTATTTTTAGTAGAGATGGGGTTTCACCACGTTGGCCAGGCTTGTCTTGAACACCTGACCTCAAGTGATCTGCCAGCCTTGGCCTCCCGAAGTGCTGGGATGATAGGTGTGAGCCACCATGACTGGCCAAGAAGCACACATCTTTTAATATTTCTTCTTCAGTCTTAAAGTAATGGGGTTTTTCTTTCATCCCAGTATTAACTTTTTGGGTTCATTGGATTCTATCTCCTGTGACCTCCTCCCTAGATGTACATTTTTTTCTTTCTTTTGTCTCTGATTCCCTCTCTTCAGCCTGCAGACATGATCAAATCTAGTCTTCCCCATCTCCTATTGCTTCAACCTCCTCCCAACTCTCATTTTATCTACCTTGGCCTTTTGTGTGCAGCCAGCCTTCTTTTGCTTACCATCCTCCACCCCACTCACCGTGCATTGGGAGTTAGTTAAAGAAGGCCACATCTATTCCTGGTAATCACCTAAGAGCTCATGTCCTGTCCTTCTCTTTTCTCTCCTAGCTCCTAATCTTTGTTCTCTATTGCTTGGTTTTACACCCTGTCTTCAGAGAGCTGTTTCTGGATACTCGATTTTTGGTTTTATGGTTTCCTTGATTGTAACTTTCATATAGTCCTCATTTAAACTATGTCTCAACCTTATTTTTTGGGCCAAAGTTTGGCCCTTTCTGCCAGGAAATGGGGTTTTAGACATTTTTCTGAACTATGAAGCCTTTTAAAGTTGTGCTTTGGAGTACTCTTTCTGTTCTCTACAAAAGCACTGTCCTTGTTTCCTCAGCTCCCACTCACTTCTTATCCAATTGAAGCTGGTCTTGCTAAGATGACTAATAAGTCCTCTTTGACCTCCACAAGCAAGATGACTTCCTAATGCTAGATCCAACAGCCCACTGGCCAACACTAGGCCAAGTGGCCTTTTTCCAATTTTCAATATTGTCTCATCTTTTAACACTATCAACTACTTCTGACTTTTTGATATTTTCCAACTGTTGACTTCCAGCACATCTATCAGTATGCATAATTTTACTGATTATCTACTACTCCAAGTCTTGAGATACAAAGGGGAATGGAACATGGTCTCTGCCCCCACAGATATTACAATGTAGGGTAGAAGAAAGACAAGTAAATAGGCAAATACAATTCATGATGTAAAGTCTACACATGGAAAACACTCACTCCTATGCTTGTGGGGGTCAAAGAGGACTTATTTTTAGACAGAAGCTTGAGGGATGATTAGGAACTATCTAGGTCATGTGGGACCAAGGGTGAGAGTTCCAGGAAGAAGGAGAAATTCTGCCAGAATTCAAAGGAGAGAGGACAGGAATGTTCAGATAACTCCAAGGAGTTCAGTGTGATTGGAGCACAGGGGTTAGGGTGTGTATTGTAAGAAATGGGTCTGGACAGGAGGCAGGGACCAGGTCATGGAAGGCCACATGAGCCATTTTTAAAGAGTTTGGAAATTGTATAAAGGCAATGAGAAACTACTGAAAAATGTTAATATTATACAGAGGAGTAACATCATCACAATCATATTCTGGAAATATCACTCTGGTTGCTGCACTAATGAATTTGGTGATGGTAAGAGTGGTGGCAGGAAGTTGGGTTAAAACGTTGTGGCAGAAATCTAGGCAAGATGGCCTTGGTCTGATCCCGTAGAGTGATAATATGGATATATGGAGGTAAAAATAAATGATGGGTTTTAGTGATATCAAAGAACAATAATGGAAAAGACTTGGTAATGGATTGAGCTATCCCTTTCAATTATCTTCAGTTCCTTTCTATCCCATTGTGGCACACTTACGCATAAAAATGATAGAATTTCTCGCATTTTATGTTATTTTTCTGTTATAGTATAGGATCTATAACTAGGACTCTATTTGACTAATCTCTATCTCTATTGCTCAGCTTGATGCTTTATGGATAACAATCAAGGCTGGTTGACTGAGTGACTCAACTTCCCCAGGTAATGTTTGATATTAATTTGTAGTATATACCTCTGTCAAATTATCTTCCACCCCTCTCACCCTTCCATTCATTATAGAACCATAAAGAATGTTTCCCAGTTTGAACCTTAAAAAAAAAAAAAAGTGCAAGTAAAAATTTATTCTTATGTTTAAGCTCTTTATAAATATTTATTTTTAATAATGTGAAGCCAGATACTCTGTCATCCCTTTATTAGCTTTCTATTGCTGCTGTAAAAATTACCACAAACTTAGAGGCTTAAAGCAACACAATTTATTATTTCACAGTTTCTACAGGTTAAAATCCAGGATAGCTTGACTGAATTCTATGTTCAGTGTATCACAAAACTGAAATCAAGATATTGGCTGAGCTAGGCTCTTATATGGAAGGTCTGGGAAGATTCCATTCTAAGGTTGTTTGGCTGTTGGCAAAATTTAGTTCCTTGCAGTTGTAGGATGGAAGTCCCTCTGTCCTTGCTGGCTGTCAATTGGGGGCTGCTGTTAGCTGCTAAAGACCACTCAAATTTCTCTTCACCTGGCCTCCTCCCTCTTCAAACCAGCCACGACAAGTCTTGTTTTGATTCTCTCAGATTTCACCCTTTGACCTTGCTCTCAGATTTTTAGGACTCATATGATTACATTGGGACCACTGGTATAATCCAGGGTGATCTCCTAATTTTAGGGTCAACTGATTAGCAACCTAAATTACATCTGCAAAGCTCCTTTTGCCATGTGATGTAATATATTTATGGGCATGATATTTTGTCATATTCACAGTCTGGAGACTAGAATGGAACATTTTAGAAACTCTAATACATTCCTATTTTAAATTGGGAAAAGTTATATAATAAATTAGACACCACTATAATGTCATATTGTAAATTAATCAGTAGTGTTGGCCATGACTTTTTCCAGAAAGTGTCCTATAATCTTATCATATCTATCATTACATAGTGAGTTTTTAGATTTGTTTTTTAACCTTTCCACCCTTCTACCCAAACCTACTATGTTGAATGGGTAAAGGATCAGTTTTCAGTAGCAAGATGCCCAGATAATAATGTCCCAATGATGCAAAATATACGGATATAATTTTGTGACCAGAAACAATTATAGAGACAGATTTTTAGCTCTAAGGAAGGAGAGAGGAGGCAGTGTGAACCTGTTGTAATCATACCAAGCCCTTGTGATTTCTGATCCTGAGGAATGGAGAATCAAAACTTTTCATTTTGGATAATTAAAATTCCTTGATAGCCCCCATATTCAGATATGACTTTTTATTTATTTAATACATATTTAATGAGCATCTGTCAGGTTCTCAGACACTATTCTGTGCACTAGGAATATGATGTTGGATAAGGCATGCCAGGTTCCTGTCTTCTTGGAACTTCTTGTTGCTGTGTACTTTGGCAGACAAAGGAGTAAAATGGCAAAAAGAGGAGAGATGGGGGTGGTGATCTCTTCTCATATGAACCAAATGCTCTTCTCATATGCTCAGAGAGCTTCAGATACCAATTTTTCTCTTTTCCTGAGAGGCAGCTGATATAGTTTGGATGTTTGCCCCTCCATATCTCATGTTGGAATGTGATCCCTAAGGTTGGAGGTGGAGCAGATCATGGGGCAGAGGTTTGAATCATGGGGTGGATCCTTAATGAATGGCTGAAGGCCATCCCTTTGGTAATGAGTGAGTTCATGCAAAAGCCATTTGTTTAAAAGAGCCTGACCCCCTCCTCTCTCTCTCTCTCTTGCTCTTTCTCTTGCCATATGATATGTCTGCTCCCCTTTCACCTTCTGCCATGATTGTAAGCTTCCTGAGGCCAGAAGCTGAGCAGATGCTCATGCCACACCTGTACACCCTAAAGAACCATGAGCCAGTTAAACGTCTTTACAAATTGCTCAGTTTCAGGTATTTCTTTATAGCCATGCAAGAATGACCTAACACAGCAGCCTTGGAGGGCTGAAGGAGAGACTCCACAGGAGAGATGGCCTTGACCAATATGACCTAGCAGGGATGTAGGTCGTAGAGGCAGAGTTGGAAAAATATTCTGATTAAACATTAGTGAGTTTTCTTTTTTCAAAAAGTTTAGCATAAGGACAAAAATGCCTAAAGAAAATGTTTCAAGGATGACTTTAAAAATTCAACTGACATAGTCCCAGTTTGATGTGTAGATTATTGGGAACATTTGGTGACACAAGAAATAGTTAATGTTCTTTGCTTTTGTATTATCACCTTGTTTGGTGTACTGAGGCCCTGATGAATTCCCAAAGAATATCAGGATGTGAATACAAATTGCCAATCTTGTAAAATCAGTTTACCAGTCAAATAAAAAAAATTCAGACTTGTCTTTCTTTCATACAATGCTCAGAACACCAGTGCCATTGAGCTTGTTTGAGAATAAAGATGAGGAAATTGTCAGTCATTAGGTATAGCACTAGCAAATGAAAACAATATTTGAGAGACCATTTATTACCAATTTCAATTCAGCTTCATTTGTGGATACAAACATATTGTGAGTATTTATCCATTTCTTCTTATTTTTTAGAGAAACAAAAACAGAAACGAAGATATCCATGGCACCTAATGTTATAAGGAGAAGAAAGCACTTGTAATCACAAGGGTACTGAGAAAAGGTAACAGACAAATTTATATTTGTGGAACCAGGAATCTTTCTGATGACTTTTGGAAAGGGTGGACATACAAATAAAAATCAACCTTTTTCTTGGTAAGGATTTGACCCTGGTTCCATATTAACCCAAGAGTTGATAAGCACAAACCTGGAGTTCAGTTTTTATGCAAATGTAACAACTCTGCTTATACCTTGAATTACTTGTATGAAGTGGGGAAAATTTTTTACTCTCTCTGAACCTGTAATTTTAAAATATCTGTATGACTTGGATAATAAACCCACTTCCTAGAATTTTTATGAATATGAGATATTGTGTGAACTATCTAGTACGCTGTTAAGCATATGGTTTGTGTTTAATCTGTGGAAGCTAGTATTGCTATTATTGTTGTTTTTATAAACAATAGCACTTCTATCTACATAATTCTCAAACTTTCCCCCTGAAGCTCAAGATGCTTTAGTACATTAATTATTGTTAACTTCAATGCACAGATTGAGAAATTGGCAAAAAATTTGCCAGCCACAGAGTGGAGAAAGAAAATTCCAGGTGTCCATATTCCTTGTCATGTAATTTGCCACTGTAATTAGACCTTCTACGTGATGATGACCTTTAGGGGACTGCCTCAGAGTGCTGAATTATTCAATTCATTAGAGTGGCACCATCAAAATGACCTGATAATGTTAACACAATTGTCCTTGTACCAAGCAGAAGAATCCTTTCATTCCTTTTCTGCCTGTAGTTCCAGGGCTACACAAGTCCAGCAAAAAGCAGAAACAGTGAATGAACAATTATTTGGGATGATGCTAATGGCTGATGTCTCAGAGGAGGCAAGCACCCTTCCGCAGACAACCCAATTTCTTGAACTCTTAGCCTTCTTTGGTTTAACTTTGAATTGTTAACCCTTTACTGCCCAAAACTGTGTCTAACTCCCTGTGCCTTTGGAGTATGAAATTTCCAGTGTATCATCTGCATTGATTTTGGTTCCTGTTTCATAAGCTCTGCATCACAGACCTTTGTCTTGCAGTTACCCATGGTCTGGATGACCAACTTCAGCCTTAAAACCAGGAGCAGACTTTTGCAATCAACTTTTGCAAATTCAAGGGGGAAAAAAGAAAAGAACCATGTAGGAAAGGAAGGATATAGCTTGATATTTTTATGGCAGTCTCCCCAAACCTCTTACCCACCATGCTTCCAACATCATTATTAATCCACACCTCCTCTGGAATTTTATGGGCATGTTGAATTCATTGTCATCTCCAGAAAAGAACACAGCATAGTGTGGGCAATTTAAAACCACATTCAGTTGCTTTATTTTGGCCAAAATTTTAAACATTTTTGTTCTTTCTTTACTTTTTTTTTTTTTAGCTTGTTAAGCCATTTGCAGAACTACTGCTATAGATTAAACCTGACAGGTCTGAGCACATAGTATAATTGTGTGATGCACACATGTGTGTATTCCCTTCCCTACACACACACACACACACACACGCACACACACATTCCATCAGCATGTCAGATTTATGGAATTTGAAATGTTTCTTTCTTTAGAGAATGGTATAACATTTACATAAAATATCAGCTTACATTTTGTGAAATTTGACAAATTACTCATAAATCTTTCTCCCTTAATCTGTTCTTGACATGTCCCCAAAAGTTTTGAGATGGCCTTAGTGATACATCTTATACTCATGTCAAGTATTTTGTTGACATCAATAGGAATTTTACTCATGTAAAAAGCCCTGGATTGGGTTACCAGACACATGAAGCAGACAAGAAGCATTCAAAAGTTGCCAGTGAATAAGAAGTGTCAAAAAAGTGTCCACCACAAGAGCAAATATCCCTGGGTATCCATTAAATTCAATAAAAGGAACATATTTGGCATTGTGCTGTTCGACATGGATTTACAAAGGAGTTTGCCAAATCATTTTTTTCTTTCTCTCTGTGAAATGTCAGTGAAAGAAAAAATAGGGGGATGGTGGTCCCTTTATCAGATAACTTCTATAATATTGTATAAGAAAGATAGGTTATTTGATATTCAAGATATATATAGTGCACAGAGGCACCAATCTGGCAGGGAATTGATGACTATTTCACCAATCTTCTAAGCACTGGCTTATACAAAGCCAGTCCTATGACTTATGGCCCCATTCTTGGGTAAAACACATTAGTTCAATATCTCTTGATTGGTATCTTAAAAAATTGTTTAAAACAAATGTTCTTCTATTTCTGTTTTAGCATTTACTTTGTTTGCATATGACTGAGTCTGTTTCTTTTTGGTAAATTTAATTTGCTACAGTTTGGCCCCTAACACTGAAAGAAAGGCATCCTCTGAGATAGGGCTGCCAACTATGGCAAGCAGCATTGCAAAGCATATAAATTTGCTCTATATACTTTTCAAACTTCTCATATGCAGTCACTGACATTTGGCCTGATCAAGAAAACCCTGGGGATTGGAAAAACACAAAGCATACTACTGTACTGACATGCAAAATGTCTTATAATCTGTCTTTACCTTTCATGGCTGCAGTGGTCTGGATAAATTAGACCAAATTGGGCTAAACACTGTCCTTGGCTACACTCACGTAGCTGTTTTCAATGGCTAATAGGAGCTGTGTGTGCACATCCAAGGACAGGATTTGGCCCCCTTTGTCTTTGCACAAGCAGTTGCTTTAGTTGATATGATTATTCCTGAATGACTGTTTTATAAGCAGTGTTTTTGCCCCGTTTAAATCTTTTTTCACTTTATTCTTCATAGTTAAGACATTTATGAATATGGAAACGCGTAACCTAAAATCTTCGGTTTCTGGAAAAATAAAAATCTCCCTAATAAAACCTGTGAAAATTGCAAATGAACTGGGAAAGAGGTAAAGCAAACCATATAAACGTTGGCAAAAACACAAGTAACACTGAGAAAATGTGTTAACACTCGTTAATGGTAACAATCTGATTAAAATTTTTATAGCACATCGATCCTTGGCCTTTCAAAAGGGAATCTGTCATTAAATAATATTTTCAAGGAAAATACATGTCACCAAATACATTTATTTATTCAGATGCAAAAAAGCTGAAATAAACTCTCAATGTAACTCCACCCTCTTCCCTCAGAAAATTATTACATAAATCTCACTATTTTCCAGAGGATAAATCTTTTGAAATAGAAGAGAACCAGTCTGACAGAAAAGTTTTTATTACTGAAAATTGCAACCTTGGCTCATCTTTGAATTTTCTCCTAGAAAATAATAAATACAATCAGCGCCTTAAGGTTTTGGAAGGGACTTCTTGCATAAATCAATATAGGATACGAATAAAAAGGAAGACACATAATTTCTTGACTTTTTGAGGCATTTGCAAGGATTAGCTCATTTCCTTTGTGCTTTGAGTAAATTATATTTATAGTTCCTTATTGCCCATTCGCTGAAGATGATCAATTTAAGAATGTATTTAGTTATACGTTGGAACAGGGACTTTCGAAAGTTCATAAGTATATACATTATCCATGCCAATATAGAAATAATTGCAAGTTAAATATTTTCACATTTTGTGGGGTCATAATCCTTTATACAATAATTTAAGCAAAATAATCCCACTGAATTCTTCAGTCGATAATTTGTCTAAGATAGTGGACTTTTTTTACTATCTGCCAATGTGAACAGGTTCCAGGTATTTGAGATCTGTCATATCTTTGCTTGAAACATTTTGAATACCAACTCCAAAAACTCGACATTAATAAAACATTAAAGTTCCAACTTATGCCCATAAAAGTCAAGAAATACAGAGTTAAGGTCGACCCAGGTCTCTTAACTCTGTTCTCCTGCATGCATGCATGGGTGATGGGGCAGCGGTGTGAACTGTTGCTTAAATCAGTCTTTCTGCATAATCTGAAAATGTAATTGAATTAGTGCATAAAGTATTTACATACCCTGCAGTAGAGAGCCCCACACACTATATTATCCACATTCCCTCTCAGGGCCTTCATTTTAACTCCTCACTGCAGTGTTCCTGCGAGGCTTCCTCAAACATTCAGAAATTGGACTTGCAAATACAATTTCCCTTCTTTTATGAGGCTTCAAGATGAGTGATGCACATTCAGCTTTCCTAGTTGCTTTCAGCTCCTGGCCAGACAGATAGAGTTTGGGTAACATTCTTCCTTTTGGTTAATATCCTCAGGGTTTGCTAGGTATTAGACAATGTCATTCTGTGGCTAAGGATTATTTTATGCTCTATTTCAACCAGATGCAGGACTGCTTGCCATATTAATATGAAAATTAAAAACATCAGATTGAATTTAAAAACATAGTCATATAGCAGACTTTGGTTTCAGGTAGATCTATGTGCCCACGGAGTCCTTACTCTGCCACATACATTAGTTAAGCTTTCCAAATAGCTGTTTTTTTCCTCTATAAGATGGGGATAATAATCATCCTCAAGATTTTTTCGATTCAGTGAGATTGTGAGAATTTAAAGAGAAATGTATGTAAAGTGCTTGGTATATAGTAAGCACTTAATAAATATTTGCTGTTATTATTAGCACTCATTTTGGTAGGAAATAATAACATATTGCTTCAATTCATTTTTTTTCTTTCATCTGTCATAGAGAATGGGATAGGGGCCTTCAGTAGAGTTTGAATGTTCAGAAACGTTAAAAATGAAGTTGAACAATAACCATAAAAAGAATGCTCATCCTCATCCATAGTTCAATAAATGTGCAGAAGTATCATTTTTCATCATTCAGATTGGCAAAGATGAAAAAGAATGGTAATATCCAGTGCTGAGTATGAAGAAATAGGCTTTCTCATACACTGCTATAGCACTAGTGAACTAGTGTGCCATTTTAAAAGGCAGTTTGGCAATGAATATAAAAATTTAAAACATGCATCTTGTTTGACTCGGCAATTCTACTCTTATAAATTTATCTTAAGAAAATAATCAAGTAAATGTTCAAGAATAGTCATAAAAGTCCTACTGAAAATTGGAAAGAGCCTAAATGTTAATATGGGACTGTTAAA